TTCCTCGCTCGCTGTTGCCATGGAGCTCGGAATCGATGACATCACAGGGGAAGAGTGTGTGTGTGTGTGTGTGTGTGTGTGTGTGTGTGTGGAGATGAAAGCTGGAATCTGCAGACTGAATGAATATGGCCAGCAAATATCAGGTGACGAGCAGAAGCACAGACAGCAGGCGTCCAAGTGGAGCGTGCACACACACACACACACACACACACACACACACACACACACACTGGTTTCCTGCACGTAACACACACACACACACACACACACACACACACACACACACACACACACACACACACACACACACACACACACCACCGACGTAAACACATCAAGCTCATAGAGCCTTCCACCCGCCCACTCACCAACCCATACTTAACCGATCTGTCACACACACACACACACACACACACACACACACACACACACACACACACACACACACACACACACACACACACACACAGGAATGTATAAAAAAAAATCTAATTGGTTTAATGACGATGACTGAGCCTTTTCAAAATGGCGGCTGTTATATCATGATTTAACATCCATACACAACCTCAAACTGATTTCTGATTCTAATTACACACGTTTTTTGTTTTTTTTTCAAATGTCTCCTGGGATGATTACACAGATTGCATAAGTGTGTCTAAAAAGGGTCAATTAACCTGAATCAACTATTATTTTAATTATAAATGAAACTTTCAATGATCTTTTACATTCACTGTTTAATCATTTAGTGGATAAAATATCAGAGAACAGTAAAGAATGCAGAATACACCCACAGGTATTCAATGACTAAATGACTTAGAAAAGGTCTAGTATACATTTAGGAGCATCTATTCACAGAAATTGAATATAATATTCATAACTATGTTTTAGTGAATCACCTGAGAGTAAGATTATGCTTTTGTTACCTTGACACAAGCCATTTATAACTACAGACGTCACAGGTTGATTTCCATGGAGTCAACCATATTGAACACTGGCTCTATGGTCATTTGTATTATTCACACATTTGCTGGCCGCTGTAGTTTCTCCTTTGTGCTTTGAAGGGGACGGAGAAGCAGCAACTACACCGCTAGATGCCACTAAATCCAGCACACTGATCCTTTAAATTAATAATGATATAAAAAATGTTTGCTTTTTTAGCAAATTTCTGTCATCACCTCAGTACAATGGAGGTCAATTTAAATTCAATTTCAAGGCAATGAACAAAACAAAAACCAAAAAAAAAACCTCATCAGTAGCCTCTTTATGTCCTGGTTACCTGTCAAATGTCACTGCAAGGAAATAGCAATTGATGACAGTGAGGTTAAAACCTTAAATACTGTATATCTATGGATCAATATTACTATATCGATGTATTATCAGCTTGTAAATATGTTGTTGTTCGTGAATGGGGGGTTTTTTTTAGAGTGGGGGCCTTGTAAATGGTAAATGGACCTGTACTTGTACAGCGCCTTTCTAGTCTTCTGACCACTCAAAGTGCTTTTACACTACGTGCCACATTCACCCTTTCAAACAGAAACTAACATTCACACACCAATGCATGGCAATTTGGGGTTCAGTATCTTGCTCAAGGATACTTCGACATGTGGCACCAGGAGCCAGGGACCGAACCCACAACCTTCCGATTAAGGAACGACCCGCTCTGCCTCGGAGCCACAGCTGTGTTGACGTCTTTGTATGTTTGTCATCCAGAAGCGTCTTGCAATCCCATGTGGGATGGATCCCAAATATTTGGGACGATACAGAAATAAAAAATGAACTATCCAAGTAGGAATGTGTGAGAAAATATGAATATACTATATATAATAGACTCTGTAAATAGTTCTGACAGGCCTCTCACTAGCAGGACCAGAGGCCACTTAAGAGTGGCTAAAGCAGCAGAAAATAGAAATTGCTTGAAAGATAGAGGAGTTATGCGATAAAAGAGCCAACCATAAATAATCTACATGCATGCTGGCCACGGAGACAAGACTGACGACACATGGCGTCTACTGTACTGTGAAAGATCCAGTGTATGGAAGAATGTGCAGCACAGACTGAAAGTGTGTCTAGTTTGGTGTTAACAATGCGTCCTGTCCGACATGGCTGCAGAGCAGATAAGCCTGTCTTATCTCTGTTGCCAACTGCTGCCCCCCAGAGAAAGTGACTGAGGGGAGAGCAGACAGTAAACACAGCAGTGGAACAGCACTGAAATAATGCCTCCATTGTTCCATCTATTTACGCCACCCTCCTCTCCCTCACACACTTCAAACATTCCCCACCCTCTGTTTATTGCCGAGAGAAGCCTCAACAGTGTCACCCGTGTTGCTTTTACACCGTTACATCATGGCCGCCCCCTTGTTTACTCTGTCGTCTTCTTCGTCTTCACTCTCTCTCTCATCTTTAAAGGTGCTATAAATACAACATATGCACCCCCACCTACTAACACACACTTCAACTCCTCCAATTGGAGTCAAACCCCTCTTCCTCCCCTTCAAAGCCTTGCATCACAAAACCCAGCCTAACACTCTTTGGTCCCATTTATCTCTCTCAGACTCGTTCCACCTTTCTGTCAAGTTGTCAAATATGGGGAAGCTGGGGTTAACACTCTTGCAGCAGAGTGTGCTGGCACACATGCAAATCAGCTGTGTTCATGTGAGTGCAAACGACCCACACATGCAAAGTATTTGTGGCGCCCAAATCGCTTACAATGCACAGCTGAAAAGGGCATCCCTCGTGTCAAGAGAGGCAAAGGGAGTGTTTGAAGCTGCATTTGACTTTCTTTTTTCTTTCAAATAAAGAAGCAAACTTCCTTTAAAAGTGACACTGTGTAACCTTTGAGAAGAAATGACACATTCTTCCTCTTATAAAAGTTGAATTCATGAGCAATAACACACTCAGTTGCTCAATTCAATACACTGAGGGTTTTTTCCTGCTTCCTAGTACTGAATACTTACTCAACCACTAATAGTTCCCAGTTGTGGATACCTTTAGTTAAACCTGCTACAAGGAGTTTTCAACTGGTTATGAAACAGTCTATGACCTACATAAGCACATCAGACCATCAGAGAGAAGATTGGCTATTTCTGTATCCTTATTAATGCCTGCCACTGGGTCGGATTTGGTCGGATTCCCTTTTGAATGAATGAAAGTTCTTTGTTGATGCTTTAAGTAAAAGTATCAATAACACACTGCAACAATAGTTTGTTATAAGTAAATGTCCTGCATTAAAAATGTTAAAAGTACGTAAGTATTATCAGGAAAATCTATTTTTAGTTTTAAAAGTAAAAGGTAAATAACCCCTGTGACTACTATGCATTATATCATTAGATTATTACTTATGCATTAATATAAAGCAGGAATTCACTGTTGTAGTTGGTTGAGATAGAGCTAATTTTAAAATTATTTTGTATAAGATTGTAACTATTAATATTTTTCATTATGGATTAGTCTGATTATTTTCACACTTAATTGTTTGGTTTGTAAAGAATCATAAATAGTGGGAAATGCCATTACAATTTCCCAGAGCCCAACGTTGTGAAAAGGCACCAGAAGGTTTATGTCATTTATTTGGGTCTTGTTCTTTTTGGAAAGATTTATTTCCCAGTATATTGTTTCTGATTTTACCTTTTTATATGACAATGTATTGTTTTGTTTTTTTTCTTGGCTAACTTCGTCAATTTGCAAAATTCCATATACACAAATCAGAATTTTTCAATTAATAAACCATCTTTTAATTTTTATTTTGAAAGCGAAGTCAAACAATACATTAAATTACTCTCATACTGTAAAAATAATATAATAATAAATGTAAACAAGCAACAAATAGCTTACCTGTGATGGTCGCCACTCAGCAATGAAATGTAGCGCGGGTCATGAGGCGGCTTTGAGAATAACTGCTGCTTTTTCCTAAAATGTAACAAACATGCGATTTTTTTTTAGCATCTTTTAACAAAATTTTGCCTGAAACCTTACTGGTCAAATAGTTACAGGACTCCAAATGAATGCTAATTAATGCTAACAGGTTTGCCATAGCTACTTCATAAGTGTCATGTCATGTCAGTGTTAACATATTTTCCCACTGTAATCAGTTAATGCAAAATATATTATATTATAGAATAAATCTTTGAACATCTCTGTCCCTTTGCTTTTATATTAGGTGATTAGCTGAATCGTGCCTTCTATTTCCTCCTGTGCAGAGATATTGTTAGAAAGGGAAGTCATCCATTACCAGTGGCATTCACAGGTCACGTCATGGCACACTTACAATGCAAACTGTGTTAAAGAAACCCGCCAAAGATACACACCAGAATGTGGAGACATCCTTACATCACAGTCGCAGATAGGAAAAAAGGATTAAGGTGGTTTGTACATGCAAGTCAACCTTTTCGGTGTGGTCAAATGTTCACTCATGATCAATTTTCACATAAACAAACATTTGCATTGGGTTCTACTGCAGGTAACGCAGCCTTAAAGGCCACAGAAGAATACAAATGTGGTGGAGGTTGTGTGTAGAATTGACAACATTGCCTCTAATTGCCTCTGTTTGGAGATAACAAGGCACCTGGCTTTATATAAAATGCATAAGGGATGCCTAACAGTGCCTGCTCTGTGTGGCAAGCATGCCATTCACGAAGATGTGACACAGCGCACAGCCCCGACTACATGAATACAGAAGCATCAAAGCACGAGTGTGTGACTTATTACTGATAAAAGCATCTTCTGATAAACTGGATTTTGCATTGCAGATCCAGGATATTGAGCATATTTAGGAGGAAACCCTCTCTGCTCATGAACAGAAATAGTAGTGGTATTTATGCCTTAGGAGGGCATGTGATAGCATGGCATTTAAATGAAAGATGGAAGACACTGTAAAGGGGAGGAGAGTAATGTATCCTGCTTTGTGCTTTAGCAGCTTATTAATAGTCCAGTCATTTAGCTTTAATTAACGCTTCATTACATGTTGAAGATAGATTTATGTGTAATGATACAGCAACTCCATGTGGTTTGTAAATGGTTTTTATTAGCAAAATAAGGGAGATGAGTCTACAAAGATTCTCCATCCGTGGAGAACATACACATACAATGACAGTTGTGGCAGTTTCCTTATATGAACAGACCCAGGACCGTATTCATCACTCATCTTGGCAAAGTAGTACTGATCTAACATCACAGACCAGGCTCCTTGACCATCTTAAGTTTCCATCACCTGAATGAAAGGCGTCGTGGATCCTGTAGCAGCGCCTCTACTCTTAAACCATCATTAGACAGGATCCAAGAACGATGTCTGAACCTTAAAACATTTCAGACGTCATCCTCACCTTTACAACCATGTTTTCTGTGGTTCAGTTTTTCCTCTCCTTAACACCAAAAACTCCCAAAACTCTCCTCCAAATACATTAAAATATACATTAAAATGTGCCTACTCTGGTCTTTGTACTTTAAACACTTGAGTGTATTATGAGCTCAATGCCTCAACTTACCATTTTCCGAATGGTTGGGAAGAATGGATATTTTGTACACTGTTTAAAAACCAGAACCCCAGATCTTTGGGGTGAATGTAACAATATACATCTCAGTATTGTACTGCGTGATCGGCCAGTAGGCCTTCCATTGTCATGGCGGGTGGGGGGAGGATGTGGGTAGGGGACTGTGGAGGCTACATGTGGGTCACCATGGAGACCCATGTACCTTTAGACCAGAGGGAAATCTTCCTCCTCCCGATAGCTCAGTGGTGTGCACATAGAAGATAGCATGGACACTAACATATGAAAACAGTTTACCTCTTAATGTTTAGAACAATTCAGCAGGCAACAGAACAAGCATTGGGACTACGACCGCAATAAAAGGCATGCGAAGGCACAAGTACCAACAAACTGGACTCAATGTTGTACCCCTTTTCTTCCCTTTTGGTTGTAGGGAAGGAAGAAAAGGAGCATTTTCCACCAATAGCGAAGTTTCCTTTTCCAGAGACAGCGGCAGAAGGAACAGCATAAATCTCAAAATTAAAAACAAAATACAAAGTAAATTTAAATAAAAATGTGCAGAAAAGTCTTGCGGTGACGCTTTTACAATGATACAAACATCCTACACAAATGCTGTAACGCTAGTTTTAAATGTTCCAAGACAAAAACATAAATAAAGCTGTTAAAAGTGGCATATAGTACAGCACTGGTCCGTGACTGATCCTCCCGACTCTTCTCATCTTCCCCACCAAAGATGCCACAATAAACTGGCTCCACTGCCTGAGGACAGAAAGGGGGGGGGGGAGGGGGGGAGGAGGGATGGGTCAGAGCCGTTATAAAGAGAGGTTTTAGAGAGCTTGACCTTGCTGCTATCATTTCATAAACATCTAAATGGAGCAGAAAATGTATTTAAGCCTTTGATAAAAGAAGGCAGCGATTTCAGCGAATCAGTGATTAAATTAAGCGTTTTATATTGATGGATTACGCCGTATCACTGTGGTCCACTCCAGCTATGGCTCCTTCATAATTCTGAATGCTTGAGCACTGGAAACAAACCGTTTGAAGCCAATTTGTTGAACACATTTGAAAGAGAAAAGCTAATGCAGGCACACACTTAAACCAGGCTCTCATGCTTTTCCTCAGTCACTTCAACAACATCCTGGTGCTATTCCCTACACCCGGACTTCGGCTGAGCTCTGATTGTTAAAAGGATTAAGTGATTAAGAGTTCCTTACCAAGAAAAAAAGGTTGTCATCTTCACTGTCATTGTCCTCAGAAGAGACCACAGTCTTTCAGGTTGTTCTTGATGATGACGTCGGTGACGGCGTCAAAGACGAACTGCACATTCTTGGTGTCTGTGGCGCAGGTGAAGTGGGTGTAAATCTCCTTGGTGTCCTTCCTCTTGTTCAGGTCCTCGAACTGACACTGAATGTAGGCAGCTGCTTCCTCGTACGTGTTGGAGCCTGGAAAAAGACGAGAGGCGGGAAGTGAAATAGTCAGGAAGTCCCAACACAGGCGACAGCGTGAGGACTGAGTGTCATGGCTGGGCTTCATCCTGCTAACTAGGTATTCTGCTTGTTCTTGTTAAAAGTGGAGCATCATCATATGCTTACATATCAAAGCACAGAAAAGTTGGACAAAGGCTCATTCATTAACACCATTCTGCTTTCTTCAATTCTTAGAAAAACAGAAGCGTAAAGGGGCGAGATGTGGTTTAATGTAGGTCATGTGCCAAACTGTTTCTTGGCTGGGAGCAGCACCTTGTGAAGTCTCTTCTTGTTGCTTGCCAAAATCACGTACAGTAATAAAAAGACTGCCGCCGGCCCTCCATAAAACCACAACTTGTGGTTTCTACACTTTGGTTTTATACAGATTACACTAATTATTTACAATGTGATAATTAGTTACCTTTAGAGGTACCGGTAGGAGAGGACTGTTACCTTTGGATAGTGCCAGGCTAGCACTTTAAGCTAAACTAAGCTAACCAACTTTGACTTCATAAACAAGTAGTGAAAACATTCCTCATTATCAGGCTTATTTCTTAAAATGAAAATAATGAATGGGCCTTTCAGAAGACTTAGTGTTAAATGCCGCCTGTCTTACCAGCATATTCCGGGTAGCAGATGGTGAGAGGACTCTTCTTGATCTTCTCCTCAAACAGGTCCTTCTTGTTGAGGAAGAGGATGATGGAGGTGTCTGTGAACCACTTGTTGTTGCAGATGCTGTCGAACAGCTTCATACTCTCGTGCATCCGGTTCTAACAGGGAAAGAGGAAGATGATGCTGATCTCTATGCTTCGCTCACTGGTTCGTAAACAAAACAGGAAACCTATCCTTCAATCTCAGCTTCTATGACCCATCACGATTCCAGTAAATGGAGACAATGTTCCCGCTGTGTACAAACGCAGAGCGCTTGGTATTATGTTCTTTCATGAATCAGTGGCTGAAGCACTCACCATCTCCTCGTCCTCAGCCAGCACCAGATCATAGTCGCTGAGGGCCACGCAGAAGATGATGGCGGTCACGCCCTCAAAGCAATGGATCCACTTCTTCCTCTCAGACCGCTGGCCGCCAACATCAAACATTCTGGAGGGAGGAAAGAAGAAAACATGTAAACATACATACATGCACACATAATAGGGTAGTGAGCAGTGTTTATGAAACCCAGAGACAAAAATAACCGTGGAAGAGTCGCTGTGACTGCTCTGGTCTTGCTGCGGGGTTTAGTGATGACAGTAAGTGATAAAAAGAAGGAAAGAAATTCTTTGTCTATTGTTACTTGAAAATAACTGATAAAATATGAGCAGTGCAGACAATAGTCAAGTATTCAGTATGCCTATACTTAACTGCGCACTCAGTAACAGCAGAGCAAGAACAGACTTTAAGCTTTTGTTCTGTGCTTGCAGTCCATTTGCTCAGTCGAAAAGGTATAAAAGTGTTTAATGTAGGGCCATATTGCTTGCTTTAAAGTGTTTAATGTAGGGTTAAAGTGTTTAATGTAGGGCCATTCTGACAAAATGCACACCAAAGAGCCATGAGCTTGACAAGTGGTGTATGGTGTATATATATCTTCATTCATTCCTCACAGTCAGAGACAATTTCTAGACAAGCAAATCCAACTATGAAGAGCACTCCTGAATCAGATTCAAAAGGGACACTATATAAAACATGTAGCTGTGGCACGTTTAGAGATTGCGGCAAAAGCCTCATTTAACTCCCTTAATAGCTCCTTTTTGTCAAAAGAAAATAATCAATTTATAATCAGTGATCAAATACAAGAAGTTAACCTGTCGAAACATGTGAAAGACTGACATCCTGGCTCAGCAGGTCGGTCCTCTTTCATCCGTTTACCTTCGCAGCAACCAAGTCATTAAACTGTTTGGACCATGGAGAAGAAATATTTTGCTTTTGAGCTGGCTTGCCACATCTGTGTAATTCCTACATTACACAGATGTGACAGAATTACTGTAATGTGTTGTAACAGTGACAGTAACAGTGTGTCACCGTGACTGTCTACTCTTTTTGTTGTTTGTTGTTTCTGTTTCTATCAGTCAGTTTCTTTCTCAGTGATAAGGCTTTGTATCTGTGGTTGTGTTTTTGGACCACATGACATGATCCTTCTCTCTTCCGTTTGTGGCCGAATTTCAATCACACCGGCATCGGCTAAAAAACTTCTGGTATCATGATCATCAGGCTTGCTTCCCCCACTTCCTGTCTCTCGGCCATAACTGAGTCATCGCTGATGCCCACAACACCTTCACAGACTGTGTCACAACTTACAGCTGTACATGTACAAAAGGGAATTTCTATGGCAGTGAATGAGTCAGGAACAGGAAGGGAAGCTAATTAAGCCATCATGTAAAACATGCTGAGTGTAAGCCAGTTGTTACAGTGGAGAAATTCTCACTTGAAGTGCAGGTCCTTGAATGTGAAGTGCGTCTCCACAATGCCTGTGGTCTTGACTCTGGTCCTCAGGACATCCTGCTGAGTTGGGATGTAGGTGGCCTGGGATATCCTGTCCAAATCGTTCAAGTAGCTGAGAGAAAGACACAAAGAAAAGGAGGGAAAACAAAAAACGTCGGGGAGAGAAGAAAAGGGAGTGAGAAAAGAGAGCAGGAGGGGAACAAGTGGGAGAAAATGTGTCTGAAAAATCAAGGTCGAGGGTGCAACTGCCAGTTGAACAAACAACTCCCAGCGCATTCTCAGCAATAAACCAGGTTGGATCCCATATTTCAGACTGAAAACAAGTCATGATTCAACCTTTGAAACCTGTTTTCAAACTGTTTACTTCTTTGCGGAACAACATCTTACAATAAAATGAGTTGGGCATCTATCAGATGACTACAATTAGGACATGCCCGCAGAAGATTATAAACTTTGACATTTAAAGTCCTAATAAAATTACGTGACGCTAAAAAGCTGATCACGCACTTACAGGATGTGTCATTTGCCTGTGGTAAATTTAGACGTAATGGATTGATGGCTTAGTGGTTAGGCTATAGCTCGCCTCACAGACATCAGGTCCTGGGTTTTAACCTGAGCCCTGGTATTTTCTTTGGCGTGTCAGTGCATGGTTTTATCTGTGTTTAGTGGATTCCTCCGTGTTCCTCTCTGAGTCCTAGATGCAGCTGAATTGGAAACTCCCTGCATGCAAGTGTGAAAGTGTTTGTCAGTCTCTGTTAGTCCTGTAATGGGAGAGCCATCTGTCCAGGGTGCTGTCCCACATTAACGCTTGCTCTAGACTCTAGTGTTCCTTTGGTCATGAATTGCAACATTCAGGTATAGACAATGGATAAATATTTATAGAATTTTGCTCATTCTCTATAATTTTATTTTATTTAAGCTTTTTTAAAAAAAGTTTTTCTTTCTCCTTATTAACACCCATACACAGAATTTCCCCAAATTTTGCACAGCAGCCCGGACTAAAACAACATATACTTAATTCTGCTCATCGTACTGCTATTGCAACCATCGAAACTTTTAAAAATGTGTTAAGAGACAGCTGTATGTACTGTGAGTTTGCCCACTTAAATGTCCAACCGTAACTTCTACTGGTAATTTTTCCCTCATATTAAAATGGACCTATGTAAGTATGTTAGAGTTACAGAGACTTTGTCAGACTCACCTTAATGTGCGTTTGAATGAACTCTTCCTCATTTTTCATTTCCTGTCTAGCCTGCTCACAGCTTTCATATTTGCTGCCAATGAATGGGCACACGGGCTGTACTCGTACAGGATGTCACACATAAACCTACATTTTCAACCCTGTGGGTGTATTACGGCCCAAGCTAATACCTCAAGGTTACTGCTGATAAATTACAAGGGAAAGAGATTAGTGACCTCTAGTTGCTACCAGACAAACACAAGTAATCTCCCCTCCACGCAAACAAGCCTTTTGTTTGTTTTCCAACGAATTAAGTGGAGTAAAAAAACAGAACACAAGGTTTAAGCAATGGTGTTTCCTATTCATGAAAAGCCCCTGGACAGCAGGATTAGAGGAGCCAATTAGAAAAATGGCCAACAACTGCAGCTCCCTTGGCCTGCGACGTAACCGCTGATGTTTGTTCTGCAGCAGTAAGACAAAGGGAAGTCCTTTCTCCTAAAAACACAGGAGCTGCCTTGTGATGATATCATTTGTTTCGACACCAAGGGCTCTTGCACAATCTATAAAAGATTCAGGCTGGGCAAGGAAAAGAATCGAACAGTTAACCTTTTCTGCACATTTGTTTTTTTTAGCATGTGGCAAATGTACTTGTACTGAGGAGTGAGGTCAAAGATTAAATAGTCTTTCCAGCCACTGCTCGTCAGGCTTTGTAGAGGAGGGCAAATATTGACAGTGTAAAAGTCCAGACAGATGCATGGTACTGTAGCTTTCTGCTCCCTGAGTGTAGTTGAAGGCTGGGACAACTTGTGTTTGGCTAGTTGTGGCAGCAGCTTTCTATGTGTTTGCAGTGGAATGACAGTAATTTGGGGCCTCTGGTCATCTGACGTGGAAGACGCTGTCGTTAAAAGTTGTTGACATAAATTGGTGTGTGGAGGACCATTGAGTCTTTTCACTGGATGACTCACAGTTTTGGCAAACCCTGCAACTGTTACCTCGGTTGTTTGTGTGTGTGTGTGTGTGCGTGCCCTTGTGACTCACTATGCTGCCGAGTCGTTGAGCTGATATTCGCGGGAGCGGCTGAAGCAGGCTTGTACACCTCCGTCCTTCCACAGCCGCTTAATGACACCGGCCAGCTCTCCCGTCATGAAGCCTTCCTCCGCTGAGCCCGCCAGCACAAACAGCTGCCGTGCGTCGTCCTGGGAGAGGAGTGGCGTTGATGTCAATATCATAAATCAACCATCAAAGTCATTACGCCGCCATTACAATTAACATCAATCTGCTCCCAAGCTGAAATCTCAGTCACAGGGTTCTAAAGACATTTTAGAGACAGCTGCTAATCAAACAGTTTACTTCCCCTGCTTTATCTAGCACATTGCTGTATATTTCAAATGACTTTTAGACAACCTGAAAAGGCCTCTGAAATCTTTACTACATTCAGAGCGAAGACTACTTTCCCAAGACTGTTTTCTGGCTATTCAATGTCAGTACCCGCTTGTTTTCCAACACCACAAACTCAATTCAGGTCTCTACTCTACACCCCACCAAAATTACACTCCTCTCTCTCTCTCCCCTCTATCACTCACAGCTCTTGCAGCATCGCCAAAGTCGATCTTGAGGCGCCCCATGGCTCTGATGATGGCGATGATGGACTGGATGGTGTTGCTGTAGACCACAGCCTTGTACTGCTTACATTCCTCTTCTGAGTAGCCCGCCTCGTGGATGATCCTGCAGAAAAAAGGGGGGATGAATGTGGTCAGCGATCGGGTCATTTCCTGCTTTGCAAAAAAATGTTGGCTGATGCGGGGACAAACGACAGCAACTGAAAACGCTACCATCACAGACAGAAAACTCGTCTTTTCATGGACAATTCTCCCCAGCTTTCTTAGAAATGACTCATTTTCTTTCTCCGCTCTTATTCAATATCTTTTTCTAATACTTTGATCGTACATGCTCATTGCAACGTCTGCAGAAATATTGCCAGGCCACAACGGCACTGATCTCTATGCTCCTCATTTCCGGCTGCTTTAATCACGGTCATCCAGGGAGATGAAGCTTAATTAATAATTTGTTGTCTTACACAGAGGCTGGAGTTATTCTACACTTTTATCATCCCATGAATGATCAAATCCTGTAAAAAAAAAAAAAAAAAAAAAAAGCACAACACCAAGAATGTGTTAGTCCATCTCTCAATACTTTCTGACTCACTCACTTGTTCCTACTGAAGATATTTATTCTACAAATATGTATTATTTAATTATTTTTTTTGAATAATTGATACGTTTCTAAAACAGCTGGGAACACATACATACATTTGCTCTGGGATATTTTCAGCTATGGAGTGTGCTAGAGAGTTTTTATGGCAGCAGGCCAGTGAATGTGGGATCGACTCAAAATAAAACTTAAGAGCCCATATTTATTATAATGAAGGAACATGTCACCCACTGCAGCCAGTGTGGCTCAGTGATGTTTTTATTAGTTTTTGGACGAAAATCTTGTTAATAGGGCTGCAACTAACAATGATTTTCATTATGGATTAATCTGCCTGTTACTTTCTTGATTAATTAACGATTTGTTTGGTCTACAAAATGTCAGAAAATAGATAGATGTGACAGTTACCTACATTTTTTCCTGATTAAAGGTCCTGACTGATTAAAAACAGGAATAATTTTCTATCAATAAACTAATCGATTGTTTGAATTGTCTCAGCTCTATTTGTTAGTTAGGTCAATTCATTGTTGGTTTGGCCTTTAGTGGGATTGTGACAAGAAAAATACATTCATTATAAGATAAAGATAGGACAAAAGAGCATAAATAAGCAACTTTCACCAGCTAACAACATGTACATGTAATCTGTCAGCTGTATTATGCTACAATAAGTATATACTGTACAGTAAATCATTTCCTTAAATCAGACAGATACTGTACAGTGAAATCTCTCACTGGCATTCTGTTGATTCATGACTGTTCACTGTGAGTAAAGTAACATTTCTCACTTTCTAACATCTCATCCTTCACAGGAAGAGAACCAATAGAAAAGCCATATCGTAGCTGTATAGCTGCTGCCACGTCTACTGTTTGATGAGTGTATCCATGAGGATTTTTATGAAGAATATCATTCATATTCAGGAGACACACACACACACACACGTGGATGATGTATAGGTAGAGTGTATATTAATGTATTCTGCTAGGTTGTCCTGATGATCCATTATGCATGGTGCTTGTTTGTACTGCAATTCACAGAGCGTAATATTACCCAGAGAGACGCTATAAAAGCACGATAGGTGTTTGACACTGTTTGTGTTGTGGAAAATGAATACTCTCAGTGCCATTACGCATATCTGATGAGAGAAGTCATTGTTCATACACTGGAAGAAGAAGAAAAGTTTGTTTTGATTGTTCAGTGAGCAGAATGATAAGATGCAACAGCAGCAAAATGAACTCACTTCATCTGCTTGACAATCGTACTTTTCCCTGATTCACCGGCACCTGGAAAAGACAGAGAAGGAAAATGAGAGTGTAAATATTTCAACAAGTTAATGTTGCCTGAAACAAGCTGAAATGTTTTTTCATATGCATTTTTAATGCTTAAGTCAACCAGCTCACTTCCTTTATCTGCTCAGTTTTAAAATAGCACTTACAACCTTTTATACAGTGATCCTCCTGTGATGTGGCCGAATGGCATGACGAGGAACCATGAAAATGAAACCAGAGCAAAACCACCTCAATCAAAGGGGAACTGAGAAACAAGAGCATGAGTGTGTGTGTGTGCGTAACCTGAGGTCTGTGTATGACTTCAGTGTTTAAGTTAAAAGGAGTCCTCTGGGTTGGCCTCTGCTCAGGGCAGTTCCAGCCTAATACACTAGTTCGGTTGCTAAGCCCTTGTTTACTGTTATCTGACAAAACTGTGTGTTTGGAATTTTATCAGTAAAAACTTTACATCATCGAGGCTCGTGGCCTTGGCGTGGCTCGCCACTAAGGATAGAATAGATCATTATTGACAGTGCTGTGAAGTGCCGAAGAAAAAAGTGTCACTTCAGAATGGGCAGGCACTTGGCAGCAGCAACTAATTAGATTGAAGGGGTTGTAGTTGAGACAATTGATTACTGTGATGAAAATGGTGGAGGGAGAGACGGAGCGAGCATAAAGGGAACCAGACTTTCAGCGCGGCTTTTGCTTTGTGGACCTCTCAAACGTCACAGTGCCATGGCAACTGCTCTTGTTATATCCAGGACATCTCTGGAGTGGGGCCGCAGTCACCTGAGGAGGCTTTGTGGTTGTAAGCGTGTGTGCGACATGTTGGCTTCCACCGAGACCGTTATGCATTATGCATCTGCTGCTCTTTTCCCCCTCTACTGTACTTGATGTCCCCGTAACCAGTCACTTGGAAGTGCCCTTTTATTTATTCATTTTTATTTTACCAATCCAAGCCATCTGGGATGTCCTCATAAGCCACAATCATTAAGACTCTTGCCCTCTAATGGCTATTACCATAAACTACATTAGATCTCCTAAAGTGCACTCAATGTCCTCATGTTACAGCAGCCGAGGCTTGGCTATAGCGAGGCAATTGGCCAGTTGTCACTGACGTAACAGCCCTCTGCCACTAGGGAAGATCTTTCAAACCACTTGAGAGTGACTATTCCCAGAGTAAACACCCCCAGCTCGTCTCTCAGCTCTAGAAACAGCAGAATAAGGGGAAGTGGAATAGTACATGAAATCTACCATTATGCGTTACCTCGTGATGCTGTCAGCTGAGACAACATGGTTTACTTGTGCATAAAGAAAAATCATCCCCCTAATCTAGTTCCACTTTCGCTTGATGTTGCAAATACATTTGACACATGCCACTTGTAGTTGAGCCTGCTTCATGCTGTAAGTAACAGCTCTCCCTGAGCATTATTAATAAAAAATGTAACAGAAAATGAATACATTATATATGCATCCTGCTGCAGTGTGCACACTATCTGTATGAATTCCTACAAACTTACTCTCAGCGATAACTGCGTGCTGATAGTACAGCCCTGGCACTTCACCTTCACTATAATTGGATGAGAATCACCTGAGGACACATTATTTTAATTATGCGTCACCACTCGGGTGCTGGAGCGCCCTGGAGGGGGGGAGACGGTACAGTGGCAGCTCCCTGTGCTCTGAGGCCAAAACACTGGCTGTGCGAGTCCCCATGGGACCGGCACACAGACGGCAGATACGCTGCTCGACTGGGCACGGCTGGCCCGGTGAGCTGGCACATTGCAGCCCTCTGCCTGCCCGAGAGCCATTTTCACCGTGCCAAAGACACTTCACATACCGACACAGTGCCTCTCGATGTGGGACACATGAGAATCCAATTCAGGCCGGGCTATGAGCTCACACTGAAGTAGCCTCCTCATAAAGGAAACTTTACTAGCTAACTGCTAGTAATGTGACTTCTCAGTGGTCTCTATGGCATTTTTATGGCTTTGTTTGCTCAAAAGGGTTCTTTATTAACAAGGTGTTATGAGCAGAGAATACAAAACCACACATCTCGAGTTGCAATGATTAGGCAACAGAAAATGTATCAGCAACTTTTTTTTATTGTAAGTTATTCATTTTTTCAGTCATTTATCTCGGAAAAATGCCAAACATTTCCTGATTTTAGCTGCTTTTCTCTATTTCATGTCACTCTAAACTGAATATCTGTGGGGTTTCAACTGTCAGTCGGACAAAACAAGACATTTGGAGACGTCACCTGGACTTTTTTTCACCATTTCTTGACGTTTCAAAGAGCAAATAGTTATGAAATTTAGAAAATAATCACCAGATTAATCAACAATGAAGATAATCGTTAATTTCAGCCCTACTCACAGCAATCAGAAAATAGTTATGTCACAATTTTCACCAAAACAGGAGAAGAAATTCCTTTCAAATTTTAATTTAAAAAGGGGCCGTTAATTTCGATGACATCTGAATGTACTGCTGCTGAAGTTCAGTGGAAATGATATCATGAGGTGAATCACATCGGTTGAGAAATAATTTGGATTTTGTGATCACCGAGAGAAAATAAACACTGACGTTGATGATGAATCACTATGGGAATCTACTGTAATTGCGGCAAAGTTGTGTCAGAGCAATCTTTCGCCACTGCTGGTCGTAGCGCCGAACGCTTGCAGAAACACAGCACGAGTCTGCAGAAACTGAAACCAGCGGCACGACTGCTACAGCAATAAGCCTGCATGCTAACTCTAAGCGCTCCAATGGTAAAAAAAAAAAAATATTTGGATGAATACCATAAATTAAGCCTTGCAGTCTCCATTATAATCAATGAGATGTTGAGCTATGTGTTTATGTAAGTGATTTGGCTCCGACCTCTCAACACCAGTGATATCATTAGGGTGTGGATCCTGTCAGAGTCTCTAGGTCTGAGGAACACAAAACACACAGGCGTCCTGATTTTGACTCTCTCTCTCTCTCTCTCTCTCTCTCTCCACACACACACACACACACACACACACACACACACACACACACACACACACACACACACACACACACACACACACACAGACCTTTAAGGGTTGCATAGCACCACAGGCCTGACCTATGGGCCCTCATGCAGAGTCATGTTACACACCCACAGCTTTGATACGCCCACCCCAAAACAGCTATAGACTGAAAACCACTGGAGCAGCTGGTTTCTGTTTCTAGCGGTTCAAACTATTTTAGGAAAATACAAGCTAACCGCTCCAGTGAAAATGGAGAGAACAGAGCTGTTTCTAACTACCAACCGCAAGCACATCTTTTCCTCTTGGAGCTCCCCCTGGTTGATCTTCCACTAAGTATGAAGGCAGCAGGAGACAAGGAAGGTTTTTAGAACAATGGCAGTGTGGAGACAAACGTGATTAAAATGGCTACCCGTGCCTGGCCCTGCTCCATTCATAGATTTATCATACGTCGCTGCTAATTCTCAGGCGCCTGCGTGCCAACCAAAGAAAGTAAAGATGTCTCTTTTTTCGGGCTCCTCATTCGCTGGGGGTTCAGTGCTGGCTTTTTGGGTCATACCAATGGCATGCAGATACATTTCTGTAGGTTCAGGAGGTCCAAGGACTTGAGTAGGGCTCATGAAGTTTGGCACAATGTGGTAACCGCATTAGTGATGCCACATTAGCAACATGAGCGCAACACCATCCAGCTCCCCCCGTCTCGCTCTCCCTGTTTTACACCCTCATCCCATCATGTGCACCCCTCTTCCTCTTTTACCTTCTCTGTTTCTTCGTCCCTTTATGATATACTGTTCCTCTCGCTCGCTATCCAGTTCCTCTTTCTTTTCTTTTTTTTTTTCTTCCTTCCTCTCCCTCTGAGGGGATTTAAGTATGAGTCACTCGTGAAGGATTCCAGGAGCCTTCCGAAGCAGCGCTACTCACCGGGGGGAAATGACCACAGGGATCGATCTGCCAACAAGCAGGTCGATAGCTAAAAGATTGTTTCCCACACACACACACACACACACACACACACACTGAACTATTCACGGAGATGTCCAATGATGCTTACAGCGATAAAGGAACGTGAGCAATTTAACTGTCCGTATTCACTGTGAGAGCCCCCCGCCCCCCTCCCAGTCTCTAAGATGAGTGACACGGCCATGGTGCACTGCATGTTTGGCAATGTGGTTACATAACTTTAACAATATGGAAAACATCAGAGAGAGAACAATGACAAAAGTTAGACAAAGGCTAGGGATTATTAATAAAATCTTCCCACAGTTGCACGACAGCTATAGAAAGAGTAATTAGGCTGAGGAGATTGTAATCTATTTTAGCACGTAGATATGAATAGTAGGATAATTGGGTCTTGGAGATGATGGAAATAAAATGAGAGCCAAATAAAGACTGAGAGCTAAATGAGAAATATATTCAGTTTTCAGGATGAAAAAAAAAGAAGGATCACATTCCCTCTCTCTACAAAAAGACACCTGAGCCTGCCAGCAGATTCAAATCATTTTTCATGCAAATTTACTTTTTTTTTTTTCCGTAAGCGTAATGATTTCAAGCCAGTGGAGCGAGCGTAAGCCCATGATTAACAATTAAAGACAGCATCGGAAGAACCAGGTAGTCACCACATTAACCTGTTCACCAACTCGCCAGAGGTTTGCTGTATACACAAATATCTGTTCGGTAGGGGTCACCTCCACGTGATACACAAAAGACTCTGGTGGCATGCAGCACACATCTTTACTGCCCTGCCAGCCTTTTACTACCCAAGCCACACGGTTTGTTGACTTTTTGCCTTTTGTTGACAGGGTGTGTTTGGAAAAAAGTACGCACCAGAACTGCTTGCAAATCAACAACTACAAACCAGTAGATTTTCAGTAACTGTTTATCTGCGAGGTAAACAACTCAAACTCCTAACTCAGCCCCAACCCCCCACCTCTTTGCCTCTCTGCGGCGGAGCTTTTTCATATTTAATGCTTCAGTCATTAGCAGTGCTCTCATCTTACAGGCCCTGTTTTCCTTTCTCCGGCCTGTCTGTGTGTCACTCCAGGCAGCAACCTGAAGAGTCTATCACGCTGAGTGGATCAAATACAAATGGCAGGAAACCGTGCCAACGCAACCACGCGTGGGGCCGCACGACCGTCACGACAAGGACAGCTACTCTCCCCAAATAAACCAGGGAGCGCCACAAGGTTTGTGTCAGGAGCAACGGCCGATGAAAACTCATATCCCGCCCTACAGCAGCATAGCAGAAAACTTGACCTTACTTGTCCTCTTTCAATCAGCAAGTCCCATCTGGCCTCGGAGCACCTGAGGAATGCGGTCTACCTTTAGAAGGAAAATATGTGCATTCTTGTTCAGACAAAACCACACTTAGGTCACACTCAGTGCTATACAGTTCCCAAGAAATGTAAAGATTGTGCACTTTTGATGCGTGAGCCAATGGACGCTAGTGAGAATGGTAGAACAAGTGTTGCTAAATCATGTAAAAGAACATGACGAAAGGCTGTTTATCTTGTTCTGGTTCACAAATCTGTCCACACAAGCCTCTAACAGCGCTTATTGTGTGCCTTCTGTCAGGTGTTTGCCTCATATTGGTATTGGCTTTAGACTCCCGTGTCCTGGTAACCCACATACCATGTGTGTGCATGTCAACATTTCCCAAAGCCAGGGGACTGATGGAAAAGTTTTTCACCTACAGTCTCTATTTACAAGGATAACAGTGTTTCCCAACATGTAAGAAATGCCATTAATTTAACCGAGGCCAGCTTCTAAATGAAAGCAGATCACATAATTGTGCATACAGGGGCAATGACGTGACAAAGCATGTGTAATTAAAGCAAGGAATTACAATAATGAAGTATAAAAGACTTCAGTGGGTGCACTTTTGCCATTCATAATACAATTTTGTGGTTGATTTTAAAAGGGATGTATCAATTTACCAAAATAATAGCGTGTGGTTGATTGCAAGGCACTGCTCAGACACCAAGAGAACAATGATTCAGTACATAAAGGTCAGCCAAAATTGGCTATTGGCTGAGAGTAATGAAAGGGTTATGAGGTATCTCTATACCAGTACGTCATGTACTGCAACTGCTCAGTTATTTAAGTTGATCAGCGGCATTTCAGTTTAAATGGCTGCTGCTATTTTGATCTCATGTTGACGAAGCTCCTGACTGAATTTTTTTCTACTTCATTATTGTAATTTCCTGCATTCGTTGCGCAAGACGCCTGCCCTTTTCAGACACTTCTGTGTGAGTGCTACTCTTGAACTTTAGAGCAAGTCAACAGGTTCGTACAATTTGGCTCTGAGGTACAGCCAAACTGTGGATAATATGATAATGAAGAAAAAAAGAAAAGATCCCTATTCAGCCTCTCCTTAGGTTCAACTTTTAATTCAAAAGCAAAGGGGTTGGGCATTTTAAAAAACAAAAACATCCCAAAATGAGTGGACTCAACAAAGTTTTCAGTCACATTGAGTCAGGGCCTGGGCCCCTAATGAGCCATAGGCCTATTTTCACTGCATTGCACTGGACTAGACGAGAGGAAATGTGGCATTGTTGAAAGGATTTAGTCAATACAAATGGTCTACAGAGGCGGCTGAATGGAGCTAATGCCAACAACAGAGGGGGGGGAAAGAAAAGAAAAAACTTGCCATGTATGTAATTCTGACGACAAATTTGAAATAAAATGACATTAAAACCCTCAAATAAAGACATTATAGTTCATATTTTGGACTATTTCCCCCCAACACACTCGGTATGTTGCATTCTGTGAACCGGAGTTGACACTTCCTAACTGACACCACCTCAAAATGACCACTAACGGAAACATTAACCGACACTAATGTGGGGTTTTTTGTTTTTTTTTCCACGGCAGGGTGAGTTGCCCCCTGTGTGTCGGGGCAACACACCGAAGTTCACCCCCCCCACTCGCCTCCTCTTTTCACCTCCTCCCTCTCTCCATCTTCTCCTCCTTTCCTTACCGAGCAGCAGCAGCTTGACCTCCCTGGCTGCCTTCTCCCCGTCGTCCCGCAGATTCCTGTCGATCATTTTGCTGCGCTCCACCGCCGCCTTGTCCTCCGTGCTCAGTGTGCATCCCATCCTCGACTGTGTGTCCTTCAGACCCCCAAGACGGTGTGTGTACAAAAACAAAAATCTAAAACACCATATATACCCACATTAAATGGTTAAAACTGCCTTCACCCCGCACACACACACACACACACGCCCTTTTTTTTTTAAATGACAGGCAATTGATCTGTTCGGGGGGCGGGGGCGGGCGGGGAAGGGGAAGCGAATCGACTTTTAAAAAAAAAATAGTGTTTCTTCTGTCCGGTGAAATATTTTCGGTTTAAAAAATCCTCCTTGCTTTCGGGGGGGAAGCTATGTTGATAGCGAAACAATTCCTTGATGATGTGTCTTCCACCCGTTAGCCTCCATTCGTTGCGGCGGCGACTACCAGTGTTGAATGTAGACCCACGACTGGAGAGCAGCGCGGTGTGTTCCGCAAGCAATAACAATCACACTTCCGGTCTGGTTCTTCACAATAAAGCTGTTCATTTCACTTTTTGATTATATCAATTAATTTATTTTTTATGTCCACACTGTCATTTTTTTAAAATTATTTATTTATTTATTGTTTCATCTTGTGTGATATAAGTCATTTCCATACGCTTAATAAAAAAAGGACTAATCTTTGCAAATATTCTCTGCAATATTTTCTATACTGTGTTGAAAGCCCATTTCTACTCTAAAACTAAAAAAATATTTGGACTAATACTGTACACTTCAGGAAATCTTTGTTAATGGACAAAATACCAGACCAGCAGCACACTAATCACATATAAGTGGTTGGAAAACACAAAATCACAGCAAGACGATGGTACCAATGTGATATATTAATACCAAAATTAACTTTTAACATTTTATTCTGGCAGGGAACCTTTGTGAAAAGTCATACTCCCTTTATTTTCATTATCTAAATCAGTATCTACTGTCAAACATCTTTATATGACAATGGACAGTAGATTGGTTGGACAAAATGCCCGTATAACACTGTATAAAAATATAGAAATCCTCCTCCTGGCCTTATTTTCAGTCTTATTAATTATCAAAGATGAAGGAACTCTGTACTGGGGACAAAAATGTCCCACCTGTAAAGTATAGCTGACTGTGGCAGTCAAATGTTTGGCTACTGCAGTTATTATTACATAACACATGTACACATTAAATGTATGTACAATCAGTACAGTCATTCCAATGGATGCTTTTCAGTCTATTATGTGCAGTTGTTACAGGAAAGAAGAGGGCACATATTCTTGTTTTTTCATCAGTTTTCACGAAGCCAAGATTTCACCTTGTGTTTGTGACGATTAAACACCAAACCTTACAATTTATTATTCTGACGCTTTTATTTTGAAGGTAGACGCCCAAACGGAAGCTACTTGACAGCGGAATGCATGTCAGACCCGCACACCCATAACTTTACTCACTGCTGCCCAAATAAAAACTCATTATTTTCACATTATGGACTATATATAATGTGACTTTTATTTTAATATAAAATAAACTTATTTATTTACCTTGTTTTTATTAAACTGCTATATTAAAATATATTATGTATATTCCCACTATAACATACATATATTAATACTTTTTTAATCATGTTACATTACCTGCTCAGGTTATAATTACATTTCTAGAATGTATCGTTCCCATGGGAACCAAACCTCCAACCATAGCTGTCCCCTCCCCTACCCATTCAACTGTACATGACCATTGTTTGTGGTTTAAATAATTTAGCCTGTCGGACAAAGTCAAGTGCGAGTAGTCAACAGTCAGTGTAAAGGTTGGTGGTGTTCACTTCACACAGACCTTCCACACAAGCCCCCACGGTGTAAACATCTCCTTTCCATCTCATTTTCATTTCAAATGTGGCTTTTTGGGAGAACATGCAAATTTGTGGTGTTGACATTTCCATTCTAATCCAATGATGGCTGGAGGTTTCCCTCTTTGTCATCCAGGCCCTCTCCAGGTTTGAGATTACAAGGGCCAGAGGGTGTATCCCGTAGGCAAAAAAAGCTTATGTCACTTTATCTCACACAGAAAATGCCACAGACATGGAGTTCTTTGAAAGGGCCAGTGTATGTATGCCTATATATACTCCTGCTTATATTAAGCGTTATAAAATCCCTTTTTACTTTCATTTGTCTACATTATTTGTTAGGTGAGGCTATCTATGTGTGCAACTGTACACATTATGCAAAAGAAAACTAAAATATATAAAGAAATAAACCATGAGAAAACATGGTAAACTGTGCACATGGTGATGAATGAGGAAAAACTGGTTTGTTAAACGCACACTTATAACATATTATATGTTTTAAAACCCAGAATACAAACAACAATAAAACATTATTGACATTATTAATATTTAAAACCCCAAATTCATCATTAGATGAACAGAAACTGATTAATTCTGTGTCCAAAGCAGTCGGGACGGCAGCGATATCTGGTAGGATCTATCCTCTGTTGCTTGCTCTTTTATTGCATTGCAATCTCTACAAGAAGTGCATTGTCAGACTCCAAATATGTCAATCTTTTTAAACACATAGAACAGACTCACATAAATATTATCAATGACATGAGAAACAGACCTCTATAGACCTAATGTTGACCCACACAACCTGAAATCCAGTTCAAAATGTTTTCGTTGTGCTCGCAAGATCAACATTAAAGTCAGTCAGGTGAGATTCAAACTGTTTTAACAAGAATGTTTGTTTAAATAGACGGAGACAGGTCTTTGGCAGAGAGTCTGGGAGGGATGGACCACGCAGGCCTTCTGCACTGGATGCTCAGTGAGTGGCGAGGGAATGATGGTGCTGCCCTCCAGTGGTGGTAAAATGTAACTTCACAGCGCTGTAGAGCAGTATGTATATGAGGGCTGGGAATAACACTGTGTGCTCAACCCCACAGCAGAGCACCACACAGTGCTGTAAGGCTTAAAGGGCCAACACAGCCTATGAAAGCAATGTCTTCTTCTTTAACACCCCTTATGATGTCATAGTGATGTCATTAGGGTTATGACGGTTTAGGCTAGGCTAACAGTAAACCTGTATTGCAAGCAGTGGATGTGGATATTAAGAGAAACATGCATTTACCAGGGTGGGAGGAAAGGCACTATTCAGTTGAATTATGAGAACTGCGCGGTGAAGGATGTAGACTTTCTTTAATTTTATGTTCCAACCAGATGCTTTTCTTTTTAAATGTTCCTTATGTGTCCCATAAAAGGGCTGGTGAGAGTGCCTTTTGTTTTTATGCCCCTAAACTGTGAGATTTGCTGCCTCTGGATATTAGAAACCTATAATAAAAAAAAAACTACATCTTTTTAATCTGGTTTTTACTTTTGAGTAATGTTATGTCCTTCATTTTTAGGTTTCAACTTGTCTTTTACATAATTTGTCTCCCTGGGGTTTATTTTCAAATCAGCGTTGTTCATTTTTTTCCCTATGTGTTCTTCAGTTTGTTATGTGAAGGGCTGTGTGTTTGCATGAATGTCTTTAACACATGCATTGACATTTTGCCAAGCGTCTGCCAAGAAGGGTTGTATCAATCGATCAGCATGTGCACAAGCACAAGTATCAGTGTACATCTCAATGATGAATCAAGATAAGCATTGTGAAATCTCTTTAAGACAGATAAAGGGCAATTCATTTTAATATCCCCCATGAAACTACACAACCACAAATACAGATAAGCTTTTCTTACGGTCTTTGCACAGAGGGAATATACTTAATAATTCATATATTCCTCCTTTTTTCTGTGTCTGGTAACCTTGTAGCTGAGATGAGCAGAAATTGGAGAGGAGACAAGAGAAACAGAACAGGAAAGAATGTAATAAGACTGAAATGTCTTTGAAGGTTTTCATCATCCAGGTCTCTGGATATCCAGAACTGATAGGCCTAGCTCACGTCAATGAGGATTCAAATATATAGCAAGTATTAAAATATAAAACATTAATGAAACAAATCAAAGATAGCATGACTGGCCTCAGACATAAACTTTTATTTTATGCACTACGTCTCTGTGCACCAACTTTTCTACTCAGCTCATTGCAGGTGTTATCTCCTGGTCTGATAGTGACTGCTGATACCAAAAGGGCACGTCTCTTAAGCTGAACCTTAAACCTGTCTTGTCATTATATAATTTAAATTATAGGGGGTACCTAGGCGCCTCCCAGAGGTGTCTGTACCTTTACCTGGCCTCGGCTGCTCTGTCAGCTCCTCTGATGTTACAGCCTGCCTGTGCTGCTGCTGCTGCTGCTGCCGGGACACAAACACAGACGAGCTGCACACACTAGCACACACCACAAACACAGAGACAGAAGGAGAACAGGCTGCCAGGCAGGCAGGCAGGCAGGCAGGCAGGCAGACAGACAGACAGACGTACGGAGAGGGAACGGACGGAGGGAAACGCACACCACCATGGTTTGCTGTAACAGAAGGTGCGGGCTGATAGCTGGAGCTGTGATTGGGGCGGCGGTAGCCATCCTGGGAGGCATCCTTATCCCAGTGGGGAACAACGTCATTCAGGGGACAGTGGAGAAGGTATGGTGCTCAGTTTCACCCTTGGGTGGAGAATAGGGAGTGACAGAGTGTGTGAATGTGTGTGTGTGTACGCGGGGATCAAGGTGAATCAGGAGAAAGGAGAGGCGTGCGTTTTTTGGAAAGCTGCATCAACTGGCAAGTGTGCAAGTGTGGCAAGTGTGTCTTGTTTTCCTCCATCAAAAGATCAGCATCTGTGATTTGTTTAAGGCACTATACAGAGAGAGAAAAAAAACGGTTTAGACCTTTTTTATCACAGAGCATCCACCGTTTTCATGTATCAGTGGGACAGCTGGCCTGCTGGCAGTCTTGAGGCATGTTAAAAATAGACTCTGTCTGTGTGTCTGTGGGGTTTAGGAAGCCGTCATTGAGCCTGGAACAACAGCTTATGACAACTGGGTGGCCGCAGGGGCAAAGGTGTACAGGCAGTTCTGGTTTTTTGACTTGAAAAACCCCCTGGAGGTTTTGCAGTATGGTGCAATTCCAGTGGTAGTGGAAAGGGGACCTTACACATATTGGTAAGGTTGATTTGTTTACCTCTTAAATATCATTTTGATGACAGGTGTTTGGAATTTGATTTGAAACCAATCTAATACAGAAACAAAAGGTTTTTATTCCTGATGTCATATGAAATGTAATGTCTAAGTAAGACCCTCTCCGCCTTCAGGACAAGATATCTCCCCAAAGAGAACATCACTTTCCACCCGAATCACACTGCCTCCTTCCTGCTGCCTTTTGGGGCCATCTTCGAACCATCCATGTCAGTGGGATCAGAAGAAGACAAAATCACCACCCTCAACCTGGCTGTGGCTGTAAGTGTAACCCCACTGTGCGGTGATTCCTGACTTGACTCAGCTCTACTGCTAATATTAGTTACGGTAC